TAACTTGTTTGTGACAAGTCCAAAACATGCGATAATTTAGAGGCGTGTCTCGCAAACTCCTGCTGCTGCTTGTAGATTTAATCTTCTGTATAGAGCCAGAATGACTGTCTACAATGATCTAAACATTTTGCACTGGATCGGGACTGATTCAACATATGTAATTAGAAAGATGGCTACATATTATTTGACTTTGATTTCAAGTGTTGTACTAAGAACATACTGGGGGGAAAATGCGAAGATTGTGTCTTTTGGGCTTGTAGTACATGATTCCTCTCTGTAGGGAGGACTGGATTAATGTCAGCCTCTTTTGTCACCTCAGTAATCGCTTCAAAGCAAAAGAGCAGATTGAAGCTCAAAAGCGGTTTTCATCAATGGAGGTCAGAACAGAAGCTGCTCAACTTCAGCACGTTAAACCACATGGAAACATTCTTCTGTTTAGATGCTGCCGCGGCCCTTCACATGTAGGTTACCACAATTACTACAAGCTGAGGCTCGGAGGAACTCTTTTCTGTCTTCTGTTTAATAAAAGAAAGAAAATCACTGACTCAACAGTTGTGAGCTGTCTGCTTGAAGTAAAGAATACTTTGTGCAGTAGAACCAGCCTCTTACTTTGTGTCTGAGGGTCCAGGTTCATGACTGAAGTTTGGAGGAGACTGTTTGGACCAGTCACTCTTCATCGACAGACAGCTGGATGCTGGAGACCCTGCTCTCCACCTGTGGAAACAAAGAATTCATGTCAGAATGATTTGTGTTGTTCAGCAGTTCACCTTGGTTGGCTGCAGCTCCGAGCTACCTCCACCGCTACCGGCCTGAACGCCACCTGGACTCTCGTCCACAGCTGAAGACGGAGAGCAACATCCCTTACCAGTTTCTGTTCACTGAACCTGTGGATCATTCAGATCAGTAAAACCGTCCCCCTAACTGTGGTTTGTGTGGTTGCCATGGTCACACAGTGGTCAACAACCACAGTAAAGTCTGTAAAAGATGTCTGGTTGTAGGGCTGGAGAAGCAAAAGGTGCACAGGTTAAGCATGTTTATTTGCAGGTTTAGATGCAGGGGAGACAAGTGTACGAAGGAGAAGATAAACGGACTGCTTCTGAACCGTCACACGTCTGTAAGGACCCGGGGCGGCTGGGACAGAAATTCAGCCACACCAGCCCACATTACCGCGCATCCCCACTCACAAACACACTCCACTACTTTGTCTACAGATGGTGAAAAACTATAAGCAGTAGTTCTACCATAGGTAACAGATTTGTAACATTTAATGGGACTGGCACACGTTTATATCAAATCTACACGTATGTTAGTAGTAGTATGAATAAAAACAAGTCTGGTAAACGGCAGAAGTAGAAAGGTTTCTGGTTTTCTGTTCTGACAAAAGGAACTTTACTGATAATCAGATGATGTTGCACTCTCTCTGATCAGGTGTTTAATTATGACTGAATGTCCCATTTTACTAATCGAGTGCCCACCTCAGGACCAGGCCGGCTGCTGCCAACTGGGCCAAATGTTTTATTCTTATTATTAGGCATTTTATTATTATAGCTAACCATAGTAAACTTGTGCAAGTGTATTTATTTATATATATATATATATTCAGTGTTTCCAACAGAATGACAGTATATCTCCATTTCTAGTAGCTTAAGTTGTTTTGTTTAACCATTTTGAATCTACTTCATTCTCCACCTTTGTTTTAGTGGTTACTCACTAGCCTACTCGAATCTGCTCTCTTTGCCTTCAGTCCTGACATCCACACATCTACACCTCTGCTGCAAACACAGCGGCCTGCCCTGCCTCTTTCTCGCTCCCTCTGTGTGTCGCCCTGTTTGGTTTTCTCCATCAGTGGCTGAAATGACACAGCACTCGCAATTCTGTTGTCAGCCGCAGGTGCCTGGAGGACGCTTGTGGTTAATAAGAAACCAACGTTTTACCCGAATAAATCTGCATCGATGTGTTCACTGTTGCTTTACCTGGTCCCTGCTGGGGAAATATCCGCCGTGTCTGCGTCTTATTGCGTAGGCCAAAAGACAGCATCTGTTGGCTTTCTCTGCAAAGTGCATAAATGGGTCGCCACATAAACTCGGGCGGCCGTTTTGTACCCGAGTGGCCCGCCCAAGTAAAGCCTGTGTGGGAAACGCTGATATTATAATCAATCTGACCGGCCCACCCCAAAACAAATGGTCCAGCCCCTCTGGCATTAACTGCCAGATGGCCAAACCGCCCTGATAAAGACCGAGACGCCTGCAGCTACATCATGTCGTTTGTGTCTCTGACTTTCCTTCCTGTGTTCCCTCTGTAATACCAACATGACAAACAACACAAGTTATTGTGTTTGTTCTGAAACTGGATGTTTGTCGACGAGTTAAAAGACGACTCTGTAGAGTCCGGATCCTTTAGTGGGTCAGGTTTCATCAGGTACATTCAGTGACATCAGTGCCTTACTTTGTGTCTGAGGGTTCATCACTGCAGTCTGGAGGCCTTTCTGTGGACCCGTCCCCCTTCATGGACGGACGGCTGTCCTCCTCTTCCTCCACATCACTCATCTTCAGTCGGTCTGAGGGAAGCAGGGACAGCAGGGACAGCAGAGACACGGCGGACATGAGAGAGAGAGACTCACCATTTACTCCCCAGGCCAGAGGAACACAGCAGCCCCCCACCTAAACAAACCCCCTCACACAGTGCAGGGGCAAAGACTAAAACTCCTCCAGATGTCAAATATATGGTACAAAAGAGGCAACATAAAGGAGTGACGGATACTGGAAGCCAGCAAATCAAAGTTTATCAGACGTTTATTCAGACGTGTGGTGGCCAACAACCACGCTGCTGACATGAAGTCAGACTCAGCAGTCTGTGGAGATGACGTCTCTGTGGAGATGACGTCTCTGTGGAGATGACGTCTCTGTGGAGATGACGTCTCTGTGGACATCTTCTCGGTTTCACTTCCATCAAGAACAAACGCTTTGTTCACAAGTTCTTCTGACTCATGCTGGATTAACAATAAATAAAACAATCTTTATCTTTCTGTAGTTTCTTTTCTTGCTGTAACAGTTGGTCAGTCTGTTGGCTGATGTTCTGCCCTCAGCTGTGAGCTCACTGAGGAAACTTCCTGTTTTATATAAAGTTCTTTCTGCTAAAGTTACAGTCTGACAGTGAACTGGTAAAAATGTTAATGAACACTCACATCTTTTCTTCTTTCTGCACGCTGCTCTCTGACTGAGCGCTTCCTCCTTTAGACACTTCCTCCTTTCTTCTCTGACTCTGTGGCGCCCCCTGTGGTGTCAGATGTACCAGCACAGAGTCCTTCCTGTTCAAACTGAACTCCCTCTGGAGGAACAAAGCTTTCCATGCTGGACTCAGCTGGACAGATGTGTTTCTCTAAGAGCAGCAGAGCGACCGTGCTCTCCTCCAGCAGGATGACAATAACAGAAACAGCGGCAAACTAGGACACAGGGATCATAAGAGACACAACCTAAACGAGAACACAGACTAAACCCACACAATGCAGACAAAGAACCAGAAGCAAATACTAAGACATGAACTAAGGCACAGGACGAGGAACAAAGACATGGAACCAAAACCCAGAGAAACCAAAATCAGAACCCAGAGTAAAGTAGACACAAGACAACAGGCAAGACAGATCCCCAAAACACAACAGACCAAAATAACAGATAAACTGACCAAAACTCAGAGTGCAAACTAGACGTGGCTGACAGGCAGAGCGTGACAGGAACTTGAGGACTATAGACTGGCATCAGGACTGAATGTCGAAGCGGCCGAGGTGCAGGCAGGTGCTTGTAGAGACTAACGGGCACCGAATGCCGCCATATCTACAAGCATAAGCTGGACATCAGACGCAGGAGCCATTCTCGACACGTTTTTGGCAACTGCCAGCAGGAGGAATGTGAGCCTATTGATGCATTTGTTACCAGACGGAGGGAACAGCCTGCTTCCTGTCAGGCCTGGCGCTGATATCAGCCATAGAAACATGCCGATATGCAGAATGACAGACATCAGGATAAAGACAATGAGACAGGAAAGGTCTCTGGAGAGTGTCCATGCAACAGAAGGCCGTCAGCAGCGGCCTACACCCAGGTATGAACGCAGGGACAAGCTTCAGGATCAGACCCGGGTCATACATGCAAATCCTGTGGAAACATGCACGTTCTATATTGTTTTTGTTTATAGTGTGTATTTATGTGTTCTCTGTTCTGTAGCATATGTCTTACTTTATTACTGTGTTTTTGTAGAAGTACGCAACATCGTGAGCGAAGTACAATCCTGAGTCAAATTCCTCGTACGTGCACACAGACGTGGCAAATATAACCGATTCTGATTCTGATAGAATTCAATAAAAAAACAACAACAGTGGGGCGTTGCTCACGTCAGCGTACACCACAGAACGGACTGCAGTATCACTGGCCCTGCAGCGGATGGAGGAGAGGGAGACAAATCATATGTTATTGCAGCTTGTCTGCTCCTCTGAGTATTAAACCTGGCATCCACTGATCCTCTGGGTTCCTGCTCACGTCGGTGTGGCCAAAGGAACACGCAAAACCCACCATGTAGACCTAAGGACCCCACTAACTAAAGCTGAGGCTGAGTCCTTTATCAGGACGTCAGCACTGGGACGACAGTGGAACTGGAAGGCAGCTGTATAATGTAGAGAGACAGGTTGGTGCTGGGAGGACGAAGGGAAGAAAATGTCACTCGTCTGAGAACAGATCATGCAGTCGGTATATAAAATAGTCAAGCACCCAACTGTGAAATGTACATATTGGAAGGAACCAGTACAGCTGAACATGATACAATATCACACATCAGGACGTCTCACAGCCAACATATATTGTTATATATTTAAGTTTCTTAAAGAAACTGACTTAGATCAAATATTTGTTTATTTATTTTACTGCTTAATTTCTCGTTCCACACTCCAGTCCAGTAGGAGGCGGTGATGCACCATTAAACCGACCAGAAACACTAAAGAGGAAGAAGAAGGGCGTCCCACACCTTCAACAAGCCGGCATCGGTGCTCGATCAGCACTGGGGGGTTTAACGAGCAGCTACCACGTGAACGCGCAACGGAGTGGAAGTAGGTGGGAGAGGAAGGAGCCGTAGTTTCCGAAGAAAGGAGGTGAGTTCATCAACATTATCATCAGTTCGCTGTCAGACTGTAGTAAAAGACCTTTCTGCCATTAAAACAGGAAGTTTCCTCAGTGGCAGAACAGCCCACAGACTGACCAACTGTTACAGCAAGGAAACGCGCAGTTACCGGTGAAGAGCAAATAAATAGTAAGGGAGAGAGAGATGATTGCCTCTCATTCCCCTCTCTCTCTCACACTGCTGGCCGCCGGTGTTGCAGCCCTACTGGTTTCCAAACTAACTGGTCGCCGTGCGCGTGCGCGTGCGCGTGTTGGGCGCAGCAGCTGCGGACTGCCTCCATCCCCAGATCCGTCACACATTCACAAACATGTTCCTGGCGAGTTTCAAGTCACATCTTTAATCTACTGCGGAGATCACGACTGTAGAAGTGAGCTCTACATCAGAGCCACATACGGAAAAAGAAATGAAAGAGGGGGGGGAGGAGGTCGCACCCTGGAGAAAAAACCCTTGATAAACATTCGGATATTTTCTTATATCGTAAGTAAGCAGCTGCTTCAGATCAGCCAAAACAAAACGCTTCCTTGATGCTGATGCGCTTCAGCTAGAAACTGGATCATGTGAGTGTTTGAGGCTCTGTAATGTAGCGCTCACTTCTACAATCATATTCGCCACAGTTGATAAGAGATGCGACCTGAAAAGAAATGAATATAAAAATATTTAGCCTAATGTTGACTTTTTGTTTCACAGGATTGATTCAAAGGTCCTGGCCCTCCTTTCACCCCAACCATGTTCTCACTCAGTCTTTTCTGTTAAATAGTTTATCATACTAAGGTTAAGGATGCGAGAACACACTATTTTCTGAACTCATTACTACACATAAACACAATCCCAGGTTTCTGTTTAAGACTGTGGATCAGCTGGTAAACCCAACCCCTCCTTGTGCCTCAGCTGGAAGTAATGATGACTGTGAATTGTTTTTATCTTATTTTACCAATAAGGTGGTGTCAATCAGAGCCTCTATTACCCCCGCGGCCTCTTACTCAGAGGTTCCTCACCAGCAACAACAGAGTTTTAACCAGTTTTATCCCATCGACTTGTCTGAGCTTTTAAAAACATATCACAAATGAGAGTGTCCTCCAGCCCACTTGATGTAATACCTACAAAATTTTTACTGAAAGTAATAGATTCTGTTGGGCCCCATTTCATCTCTGTTTTCAACAGCTCCCTATCTACTGGTTGTGTCCCTGATTATTTTAAAACAGCTTGCGTGAACCCACTTTTAAAGAAACCTGGTTTAGATCCCTCCCTCCCACATAATTTTAGACCAATTTCAAAACTGCCTTTTATTGCAAAGATTCTAGAAAGAATTGTGTCCAAACAGCTGCTCACTGTGCTGGAAAATAACAAAATATTTGAAAAGTTTCAGTCTGGTTTAGGAAGTACCACAGCACTGAGACTGCCCTGCTTAAAGTCACCAATGACCTTTTAATGTCTGCTGATGAAGGCATGTGCTCAGTCCTTGTACTCCTGGACCTTAGCGCTGCTTTTGACACCATTGATCACAACATCATGTTAGACAGACTGAGGCACTGGGTGGGGATCTCTGGTACTGCCCTAGAATGGTTTTCATCCTACCTGTCAAATAGGAAGTTTTGCGTGTCTGTAAACAACCATGTCTCTTCATTCTGTCCAGTTAAATCTGGTGTGCCTCAGACGAAACAGAAATCCTGGTCATTGGGTCCCAGAAGATGGCAAATCAAATACTGCCATCTGCAGGTTCCCTAGTAGTCAATTCCGCATTTTAATGCAGAGCTTTAGCTGCTCCAAATTAGACCTGAGCGTGGTGTGCCACTGAAATAGGATACAATAAATGACCCAAACATTTAAATCCGTGAATCATTTGTTCATGTACTGTTCGCTGTGCTGTGTACCGTTGGATGTACTGACCACTGTGAGTGAATTACTTTGATACAGAAAAAGTCTTTAAAACCGGAGGATTCTCTGGCAAGTTCCTGTCCCCACACACGCCTTCAGTCAGTTACACTGAGTAGCCTACTGCCTACTACAAAACACTAACTTAAAACCCATTTAACTTGTTAGTAGTTGTTTAGCCTAAACCAGGTACGCCGCCGCCTACCTGTTGCTGCTTGTTTATCAAGTGTAAAACACAAAGTAACTTCCTTACAAATTCCACTTTGTCGTTTCCTATTTCTGACTTGATGCTTTTTGTGTTGGATGATGGCTGTAAATCGTTAAGTCCATGCTTTAGGCCTGCTGTGCTGTGGGCACTGTGTTGATAATAAAGTCATGTTTTCACAGTCAGATCGTCCCTGTTTAGAAGGATTCCCGTGAGATAGTGCGAGGGGGCCGTAACACAGGGGTCAATATTGCCGAAGCCTCGAGAAAAACACCTTGATAAACACGTTGTGGTATTTTTAAGATGGCTGAAGGTAACCAGTTGTTTTAGACCAGCCCAAACAAAGTGTTACCTGGATGATGACGTGCTTCATCCATACATGACTGGAAACCCTTCAGCTGTGATTGCTCGGTTTGCTCGCAGGTAACGTGGAGCCGTAGGTGCAACCTTTAGCTCAGGTGAGTTTGAATCCAGCTTGACATGATTTAGTAAAAAGTCTTATCTTTTTCCGTATGTGGCTCTGATGTAGAGCACACTTCTACAGTCGTGATCTCCGCAGTAGATTAAAGATGTGACTTGAAACTCGCCAGGAACATGTTTGTGAATGTGTGACGGATCTGGGGATGGAGGCAGTCCGCAGCTGCTGCGCCCAACACGCGCACGCGCACGCGTACGGCGACCAGTTAGTTTGGAAACCAGTTGGGCACACAGTTGAGCACATTATCCTGAGTAGCCTGTACTAACTGGAGGACACATTATAAAGCCAATAATACTAAAGAAAGTAGCAGAAGGTCGCGGCCTCATCCTGTTGGGTCTAAACTGTGCCCACCATGTGGCTGAAGGAGTGCAGCCATCCTGCCAGTCCTGCAGTGCGCAGCGTGGGTCACTAACAAACATGTTCATTAAAGTCTAACAGTAGGGAAATGAATCAGTGACCCCGACAGATGCAGGGTTTCACTGCTCCCATAGGAGCTCAGACCTCCTCATGGGAGCTGAGCTCCTACTGGTTCCCACTGACTCCAACCTGGGGTTTTGATGTTGGCGTGCTGTGCGTTTTCTCCTCCACACATGGGGCCAAGCAGGCAGAAAGCAGGTTTAGTGAAAACTCTTGTGTGTTGAGATGAGGGAAACTGTGAGTTTCTGTTCCAGAGAGCGAGATCAGATAAACTGATCCTGTGAACCTGACCTCCTCAGGAGGAGCTTTACTTCTCTCTGACTCCTCCTGCAGAGCCTGAAGCAGCTGACATTTCCCACATCAAAGCTCATATCCGAGAAACATGGATATCCCGGTTAGAGAGGCTGCTAGTTTTTACCCAAACATGATGCTGAGCTTTATTTCTCAGCTCAGAATCAAACTGTCCTTCTTTAACACTGAGACTGTGAGGACACGAGGACCGATGTCAGCTTCAGCCGAGACACTGTGAGCGCCATGACTGCAGGAATAAAAGTGATCAGCGATCTGTCATCGCACTGATGGAACATTCCTATGGTAGTTATCATGGTGGAGATGATCTCTGAGTGAGGATGGCCAGGAGCGGCTGTGTACACGGTGTGGAAGTGCCGTAGCAGCATGAACATTTAGCCTATAGGCTAGTGAGTGGACAGGATTGCATAATGTGAGATATGTAGCCTCCGTATGAAGTCTGACATGCAGGAAACCGTGTCCTTCCACTTTGACTGTTTAAGCACCAGGCATCAGCGATGTAAACACAGAGTCCGCCTCCTCATCTCGCCGGAGCCTTGCGCTCTGGCAGAACACGGTGTGCCCGCTGCAGGTCTGTGTAAAGATGTCTTCGACTTCCCGGTGTTTGGCTGCACGAGTCCCATGTCCTCCAGACCGGACATTTACCAGGAGCAGGCTTACGTCCAAGCTGGGCCAGCATGGCTCCGGCTGTCTTCCCTCTCCTCTGGTGCGATCACCCGCCGTGGTGCCTGGTCCTGATTAAAGCCTACATAAATATGCATATTGAGCAGTAGTAGGCTCCTATACCAACACAGGAAATACTCAGAAGTAGAAAAGTAGTCCTCAAAAATTTTCCTCACTGAGCCACTGTATATGGAGCTTCACTGATGAGGCTTTTTTTCATCCCTGCGCACGCACATCCATCAGGATCACCTGAACTGATTCCGATCAGCTGTCCACCTCAGGCTCAGGCAGCTCAGAGCTCCTGCTTTCTGAAACAGGGCCCTGGTTTGCTCTTTCTCCTCCTGCTTTTTTTTGATTTGCTGGCTTCCAGTATCCGTCACTCCTTTATGTTGCCTCCTTTGTACCATATATTTGACATCTGGAGGAGTTTTAGTCTTTGCCCCTGCACTGTGTGAGGGGGTTTGTTTAGGTGGGGGGCTGCTGTGTTCCTCTGGTCTGGGGAGTAAATGGTGAGTCTCTCTCTCTCATGTCCGCCGTGTCTCTGCTGTCCCTGCTTCCCTCAGACCGACTGAAGATGAGTGATGTGGAGGAAGAGGAGGACAGCCGTCCGTCCATGAAGGGGGACGGGTCCACAGAAAGGCCTCCAGACTGCAGTGATGAACCCTCAGACACAAAGTAAGGCACTGATGTCACGTTGCACAAAAACTCTCCAGCTGACACATTAAAAGTGCACCGTTAGAATATGTTTAGACAAGACGGGGCGGAGGTGTGTTATTTATCACAAGGCAAATCCAATGGTCCTGTGTTAATGACTTGGACTGTATCGGTCTTAAATGAACTCTCTCAGCCCAAATGTCATTCACTGTGATTGTAATATGTAGACCACCATCTGCAAAAAACGTGTTCTATGAGGAGTTGAAAATCCTTTTTAAAGAGTGTGATACTAACAATGAGATAATTTTATTAGGAGATTTCAATATAAACTAGCAGAGGATCTAGCTTTATTTCTTAAATGAATTAGCTCTGAAAGACCAGGGATTTTCCCTACCACCGATCCTAAACATGTTAATCGGAACATGTTTATTAGAGATAGACAGAAAAATTGAGTGAAAATATTCCCATGTCAATTCAACAACTGTTATCAGAGTTACTCTGTTAAGATCAGTGTGATATAAATCATGCAGGAAAGCCTGCTCTTGAAAACCTTTAAAATATCTTTTAAAAATGAACCGGGGTTTTACCTTGGGGATTTTAAATTTAATTTTTTTATTAGTAGAGTTAAATGTTACAAAACACAAACACATTAGCTCAGAACAGATACAGTGAAGAAATAAAAAACAGAAAGCAGACAAATATCAGGTACAGTCATCCAATCAGTCAAATGAAAAATACTGAAGTTGACGAGAGGCCAGCAGAGGCCCAATATACACTGCTCAAAAAAATAAAGGGACACTTAAACAACACAATGTAACTCCAAGTCAATCACACTCCTGTGAAATCAACTGTCCACTTAGGAAGCAACACTGACTGACAATCAATTTCACATGCTGTTGTGCAAATTGAAAAGACAACAGGTGGAAATTATAGGCAATTAGCAAGACACCCCCAATAAAGGAGTGGTTCTGCAGGTGGGGACCACACTTCTCAGTTCCTGTGCTTCCTGGCTGATGTTTTGGCGGTGCTTTCACTCTAGTGGTAGCATGAGACGGAGTCTACAACCCACACAAGTGGCTCAGGTAGTGCAGCTCATCCAGGATGGCACATCAATGCGAGCTGTGGCAAGAAGGTTTGCTGTGTCTGTCAGCGTAGTGTCCAGAGCACGGAGGCGCTACCAGGAGACAGGCCAGTACATCAGGAGACGTGGAGGAGGCCGTAGGAGGGCAACAACCCAGCAGCAGGACCGCTACCTCCGCCTTTGTGCAAGGAGGAGCAGGAGGAGCAGGAGGAGCACTGCCAGAGCCCTGCTAAATGACCTCCAGCATGTGTCTGCTCAAACGGTCAGAAACAGACTCCATGAGGGTGGTATGAGGGCCCGACGTCCACAGGTGGGGGTTGTGCTTACAGCCTAACACCGTGCAGAGAACACCAAGATTGGCAAATTCACCCTGTGCTCTTCAGATGAAAGCAGGTTCACACTGAGCACATGTGACAGACGTGACAGAGTGGCATTTCTTTGGGGGGCCGCACAGACCTCCATGTGCTCGCCAGAGTTAGCCTGACTGCCATTAGGTACCGAGATGAGATCCTCAGACCCCTTGTGAGACCATATGCTGGTGCAGTTGGCCCTGGGTTCCTCCTAATGCAACGCAATGCTAGACCTCATGTGTCTGGAGTGTGTCAGTAGTTCCTGCAAGAGGAAGGCATTGATGCTATGGACCAGCCTGCCCGTTCCCCAGACCTGAATCCAACTGAGCACATCTGGGACATCATGTCTCGCTCCATCCACCAACGCCACGTTGCACCACAGACTGTCCGGGAGTTGGCGGATGCTTTAGTCCAGGTCTGGGAGGAGATCCCTCAGACCATCCACCACCTCATCAGGAGCCCAGGCGTTGTAGGGAGGTCGTACAGGCACGTGGAGGCCACACACACTACTGAGCCTCATTTTGACTTGTTTTAAGGACGTTACATCAAAGTTGGATCGGCCTGTAGTGTTTTCCACTTTGATTTTGAGTGTGACTCCAAATCCAGACCTCCATGTGTTGATAGATTTGATTTCCATTGATAATTTTTGTGTGATTTTGTTGTCAGCACATTCAGCTATGTAAAGTAAGGAGTATTTAATGAGATTATTTCATTCATTCAGATCTAGGATGTTATTTTAGTGTTCCCTTTATTTTTAAGAGCAGTGTACTTTAGGTAGGGGTCCCAGGTTAAGTAGAAAGTGTCTATTGAAGTGTGAAGCATACATGTGATATATTTGCTGGGAATACACCTGTCTCGCCTTGTGCCATGATTTCTTGGAGGGGGCAGTGTCCTTGATCCAAAAAAGCAAATTAGTCTTACTGGCAGCAAATGTTAGTAGGTTATAAAGTTGCTTGTGCTTGGGCTGAATCTGAGGATCCGTGAGGCCCAGGAGGAGATATTTTGGATTGAGCAGTATGGTAGTATTAAAATATGGTACAAGTCTTTGACCACGCCAGACCAGTAATTCTGTATTTTTGTACATGACCACATACAGCAAAAATGATCACCAACTTCAGTTTTACATTTCCAACAGAGTGGGGATAGTTCTCCAGTAAATCCATCTTACTAAGGACAGGTTTTATGTGTCCAGTGTAAAATCCTACACTGAACAGATTTTGTTTGCGGCCTTGTCCCACACATCTAATCAAACCTGAGGCTCAATAGAGATACCCATGTCCTTTTCCCAAGCCTGCTTTGCAGCCACTAAAGCAGAAGGAATATTGGAGAGTAATGCTTTATAAAATACACTAACAGATTTCTTACCACTATGAGAACACAAGGCAGTCTCTACAGTAGACGGGTCATTGTTCGTTAATGTGGTATCTTTAATTTGCAGGAATCACCCTCTCCAAACCAAACTGCTGCTGTGCCTGCTGGAAAGACAATAAAGACTGATTTTTGAATAGGTCCCCCACCTTTCTGATACCCTTTTTGAACCATAGTTGAAAGCCATGGTCATTACAACCAGGCAGGAAGTCTGGATTTCTCAGAAAAAGGAGTAAGAGGAGAGGTGCATTCAAAACATCCCTCCACTTTACGAACCATCATCCAAGCCTTTACTGTGTTCAGAGAAATGGGGTTAGAGCAGAGTTCACTATCTGAACTTTTCAAAATGAGCAAGTTCCAAAGAGGGCAACTAGACTGAGAAGATTCAATATCGTGCCATGCTGAAGAAGGAACATTTTTAAACCAGTGGAATGTTACACACAGGAGCACTGCCAACTGTTAAAACCTTTATGTTAGGCAATCCACTTCTGAGAAGTTTTGAGGTGAGAAATCAGCTGTGTAGATTTAGAATATTGAAAGTTTTACGAGAAGTGATGGCGGAACAAAAATGTGCTTGAATATTTTTGGAGTTGAGGAGCTACGCAAGTGGCTGCGGGGGAAGCCTGCTGTGACCCGCGGGAGGAGCGTGTGAGGCCGGCCAGCCGCCCGCTCACAGAGCCCTCTGCTCCCGCCGTCACACAGAGCGCTGCAGCAACAACGGCAGAGGAAAAAAGGATGAAGGCATGTGCTCAGTCCCGTACTCCTGGACCTTAGCGCTGCTTTTGACACCATTGATCACAACATCATGTTAGACAGACTGAGGCACTGGGTGGGGATCTCTGGTACTGCCCTAGAATGGTTTTCATCCTACCTGTCAAATAGGAAGTTTTGCATGTCTGTAAACAACTATGTCTCCTCGTTCTGTCCAGTTAAATATGGTGTGCCTCAGGGGTCGGTCTTAGGACCCATTTTGTTTTCCTTTTGATCTGCTTCCCCTTGGACATATTATCCATAAACATGGCATTTCTTTTCATATTTATGCTGATGACACACAAATATACTTGCCCGTCAGATCCACAGACCCTGGAATGCTGAGTTCACTTAACAACTGCCTTTGTGAAGTTAAAAAATGGATGTCAAATAATTTCCTCCAACTGAACTCAGACAAAACAGAAATCCTGGTCATTGGTCCCAGCAGATGGAGGTCTGTTGTCTGTTCCAGAGTCTCGACTGAAAACTAAAGGGGACAGAGCGTTTGCTGTCAGGGCCCCGAGGCTCTGGAACAGCCTGCCCGAGGAAATCAGGTCGGCTGAGTCAGTGAACTCTTTTAAGTCCCTTTTAAAACATACTTTTATAGGAAAGCCTTTCCCGATCTTATTTGACTTTATTTTATCCCTTTTATTGTATTTTACTAATTTTATATTTATCTTAAACGTGTATTTTAGTCTTTTCAATGTTTTCATGCTTTTATCTTGTATTGTTTTTGTATTATTGTCTCTTGGGTATTATTGTCTTTACACTTGTTAAAGCACTTTGTAACTTGTTTTTGAAAAATGCTCTACAAATAAAGATTACCCCGCCTTTCGCCCGATGCCAGCTGGGATTGGCTCCAACCCCCCGCGACCCTGTACGCAGGATAAGCAGTTGACGATGGATGGATGGATGGATACCTTGTTCCTTACGACCCGCCCTTCTCTGCTTCCGATTGGCTAGTAGTCCTTACCTGGGAACTCTATACGACTCTATCCAAGTAAAGTGGCTACAGCATTTAATACTGCATTGATTCAATAAAAACTTTGACTCAGAATTCCCCTGTATTGAAATATTCTGTTGCTCCTCTAAATATTAATGCTCCCATTTTGACTTTTAGAGGTGACCAATAACAAAATGTGCGCGAATGGAGGACAAAGTATGTATATGGGATTGACAGTATTTCTTAAGTCATAATGAGGCACTCATTTGTCCTATTGTAAAAATTATTAACCAGTCCATTAATGGTGGAGTGTTTCCAAGTGCTTGGAAAACCGCTGTAATCACACCAGTGTATAAATCGGGTGACCATATGGCTATCAGAAATTACAGAGCCATCAGTATCCTTCCATCAGTATCACAAATTGTGGACAAATGGATCTCAGAACAGATAATATCTCATTTAGATGCTACGTAATTCTCATTAAATCCTATGCAATTTGGTTATCGAAAACATCATTCCACTGATCCAGCCAATTTATTTTCGCCAACTACGTTGGCGGCTGTGGCTCAGGAGAAAGAGCGGGTTGCCCGTTAATCGAAAGGTGGTCCACCAGTGTTAGTTTCTGTTTGAGCACTTAGGCTCAGTGTATGAATGTGTGTGAATGGTGAATACGATGTAGTGTAAAAGCGTTTTAAGTGGTTGAAAAGACTAGAAAGGCGCTATACAAATACAGAACATTTACATTTTTGGAAACATTAAGGCTAAATTGGACCAAGGAGGTGCAGTTGGGGCGGTCTTCCTTGATGTGAAGAAAGCCTTTGTTACAGTTAATCATGAGGTTCTAAGTTATCAAAGTTAAATTTTTCACCCAGTGACATCAAATGGAAACGATCGTACCTTACAGAAAACAATGTGTTCGCATAAACTTCTCAAATGAATGATAATGACTTATATGTACCTCAAGGTTCAACTTTGAGTCCTGTTGTTTAGTCTGTGTATTAATGACCGACCTGAAGTTTGTCCATCTGGAGTAACTTATCAGATGTACGCAGATGATACCGTCTTATATTTACATGCTAAAAACAAGAAGCAAGCTGCTAAGGAACTATCAGCCTCTATGGTCAATATCTCTAATTGGCTAACAAACTCTTGTTTACATCTCAATACTAGCAAAACTGTATGCATGTTCTCAAAATCTATAGAGATCCAGACCCAGAGGTTACTGTAGCAGGAAGAACGCTGATAGTTGCGCATGAGTTTAAATATTTAGGCATTATATTAGAAACACTGGATAATAAGTCAGTCATATCAGTTCCCATTTTTTTAAACTGGGAAAATATGGTGAAATTTGCTGATGTCTTGCTTGTGTATAAAATGTTCCATGGTTTAACCCCCCCCCCCTCCACTCAATGAATTCACAATATACAAATACCTTCGCGTTGCCGGCACCACTCCCTTCACGTCGCTTCACGCCGCCCGACAAGAAATCGTGGCTTTACGCGTCTTTGGATTGACTTTGTATGTAAACTCACCACCTGAAAGCACCATTACAAAGGGAGGATTGTAGTGAAAGCATTGTGGTGTCAGGTGTGACTGTGCAGCAGCTCTGTTTTTGCTCTGTGGGTCACAGTTTGTGACCGAGTGGTAACGTAGCTGGTAGAGTTTTGCAATAATAAAGCTTTGCAGGAAATATCCACTTTTCCACTTATGACTCGGTTTTCCTTATTCTGATTCACTGTAACTTATAATACTGTTTTCAAACCTGTCTTAAGTGAATTTTAAAAGATAGATTGCGTTTTATAAGATCAATAGATTTTGATGTGTAGTATTTTTACTTTTGATTACTTAAGTATTTTTAAAACCAGGTACTTTTTTTACTTAACATTTTTCATGTGGTATCTGTACTTTTACTTAAGTATGAAAATTGAGTACCATCACCTCTGCATCTGCCAGAGCCACTTCCAGAGGTGACTGTGCTCGTTTGGCTGAACATGAAACCATTTGGGCGGCTTGGTAGCTTCACAGCAGGAACGTTCTTGGTCTGAACCAGCCGTGCTGCTGGTTTGCATGTTCTCCTTGAATCTGTGTGGGTTTCCTCTTAAGCCATGTCCACACTACTGCTACTAGTTTAGTTTAAAAATGGAGAAGTAAAACAAATACGATCTCCGTCTACACCAGCGTTTTAGCTGCGCATCAGAGTTGATCTCTGTCTACATTAAAACAACTGAAAACGCACATCTAGTGCCCATTCAGGACCACTGGGCATGCGTGTGCTAGTGTAAACATGAAGACCAGATTTTTTTGCATACACCAATAACGAACTGGGACTGTTACTGAATGTAACACGGGAGTATGGTGTTGGAAAACAGACTAGGAGTCGTCGCAAAGTAAACTGCAACATGCACAGTACAAGTGCAGGCAGATAGGCTAAGTGTTATTTGCACAGAATAGTCTATTTTAACAAAAACCGGGTCAGTAGTGTCGTGTTTCTGCTTTGCATGACTTACAAGACCCAATCAGAGAGCCGAGCATGAGCGGCTGTGTCATCGTTTCTATTCACTAAAACGCCCTCTGGAGTTTTGAAACGCAAAACGGGGTCGTCAGTCCAAACTTCTCTGTTTTAGGTCTTCGTTTGGTGCAAACGTAGCAAAAGGTCTCTGTTTTCATTTTAAAACACAGTAGTGTGGAAGGGGCCTTACAGTCTCAAAAGATGCAAACAACTCTAAAGGTGTGAATGTGAGCATAAATGGTTGTTTGTGTCTGTGTGTTGGAGGGATTTGTGCAGTGTAGGGCTAAGACTAGAAGTAAAGGTGGGGTGAGTTGCCAGTTGGGTGGGCGAGCCCTTGGTGTTTTGACCTCTATTGATGAAAACAGCTTTTGAGCTAACGCTTTAATCTGCTCTATTGCTGTAAAGCAATTACTGAGGTAACAAAAGAGGCTGTAGGTGAAACTTACTGGCCCAAAGACATGCCATGCCATGTACAAGCCGTTACACGAAATCTCACAAGCATCACAACAGAGATAATCCATGTCATAAGGATTGTCTGAGATTCTTTTGAAGTGTATGTGGCCCACCGGCTTGGAGTAGTCCATCACAGCATAAAACGTGTCATTTCCTGTTGCCAGCAGGTGGTGCTATGACTATATAGATGTGTTTAGGGCGGGACATATCAAATTCGGTACAGATGTGAGCATGTACACTGAAGTTGCAGCAACTTCCTGTTTTGTGGCAAATCATTTGTTTTCCATGCCACGGACACGCCCATTGACACAGATAGCACAACTTTTCATATCAATGCCTTTAGACTGCACAGCGAAAATTTGAAGTTGATCGGACAAATTCCCTAGGAGGAGTTCATTAAAGTTCAGAGCATGTAAACATGTGACCAAATGACCATTAAATTCTAAATATCCGACTTTCTGTTGGGTTAAGGCTATTGCCCCAAAAGCATTTTTTTATATGTCCTGTCGATGAAGGGTCTCTTCCTATTGCCAGCAGGTGGGGCTATGATTATGAGTTAATTTTGTCCTTAAGATGTGTTCAGGGATGTGTTAGATGTGTTCAAACTTTGCCCCCATGCCACGGACAAGCGGCCACACGAAAACTCACAAGCTTCACAACAGAGCATTGTGCAGAGAGCAATGTCTTAAGGCCATTGAGCACATGGGAACTTCATCTGGCTTTAATGGTCAATAATATGACAATTTATCAAGTTTGGAGCTAAAGAGCAATTAATCGGTCCAGTGTTATATGTAATGGTACATTTGTGGGGTGTTAGCTGACTAAACAATGACTAGTGAGAAATAGAAATGTGAATTTAAACCTGTAGTTTTGTTGCAATGTGGTTGTGTGTGTTTTATGTCCAATCAAATGCTTTAGAAATGTCTTTGTGTCCACAGAGAGAGGAAGAGGAGTCCTTTGTCTGTGGAGGAGCAGCCGTCCTGCTGTGCTTTGTGTCAGGTCGTCCTGAAGGATCCAGTCTCTACCAGCTGTGGACACTGGTTCTGCAGACGGTGCATCACCTCATACTGGGACCAGTTTGCTTCATCAGGAGACTCCTCCTGTCCCCAGTGTGGAGAAAGAACCAGAGCTGGACTGCAGACAGCCAGTCAGAGCAGCTCTGTACAAGTAAGACTGGACATCTGTCTGCTTCTTCAGATATTCTGAT